CTTATTTCCTTTCTCACACTCTTCCCCCCCCCCCCCTGCCGCTTTTAATTCGGCATCCCATTCCTCTCTCTCCCGTATTCAGTGTGTCCAATCCTTCACCACTCCTGCTCCCACTGAAAGTTGTATTCCCTTTCTCTCCTTGTTCCTTCTTTTCGTCTATACCTTTCATCTCTCTCCCTCCTCCTCCTCCCTCCACTACTGCCTCCTGTCGTTTCCCTATAATCTCTTTTCATCTAGTCCCCTGTCCTCCCTCTCCATTCGCTCTCCCTACCGTCTTATTGTGCCAAGCCTATAATAAACTTATATAGACCTTGTTATTTCCTTCTTGTCTCTTTCCTTTCCCTTGCCTCTCTCTCCCTTTCATTTCCGAATCCTCCCACTCGTGACGACTGACCAGACCCCATTTAGTCAGTGGAGGCGCATTATCCACCACACCCTATTCTGCGTTCCCTCTCGCCTCCCTTACCTTCCCTACGTCGTCAGCTCCCTTCCTTTCCCTTATTCACGCTTTTAAATCTCTCGCCTAGCCTCTGCCCGCCTCCCACGCGATAATCCCTCGCCTCCGCTAACTAAGACGATTCATATCCACCATCACCACCGTAGTTGTTGGCAGATGTCCTGCTTGAGAATTAGAGGCTCGCAAAGTGGTGAGGACCGCCTTGCAGGTCGAGTGCCGGGTGAGAACAGGTCCCCAGAGGCTGAAGGGTGGACGCAATGTGAGACAGACTCCAAAGTCATCCTCGTCGGAAAGTCTGCGTGTCGTGGTTCCGTAGTTATCGCGATGGCCGTCGTCGTCGGAAGTGGAGGCCGGAGAGTTGAGCGCTGTGGCCAGGCGATTCTTTGGAAGGTGTCTCGAGTGGGAGCCCTGAGTGAGAGCGGTAAGTGGGCGGGTCGGGAAGGGTACCATAAGCGGTCGTGTGTTGTCGACCGGCGGGATTTAGATTCCATGAACGTCGTCCAAGGAGTTCCGCTGTTCTCTATACACAGACCATGCGGGTCGTAGGTTCCCTGGAGAAAGGGAGAAACGAAAGGCAAAGAAATACGAATAAAGATGAAGAAAGTAAGAAGGAGGATAGTCTGAAATCTGCTTAGAATTCTATCATGGAATCCTAAATGTGCTAATAAGACTGGGGTTTAATCACACAATACTTGAAGAAGGAAAAGCACCAAGCAGACCAGGACTTTTTGAGCATAGCATTACTTTCTTTTACAGACAAATTAACGACGTTCCTTGCCTGAAATGCAAAGAACTTGCGAAAGAGCGATGAGATTAAAAATAACAATAACGAAAGCATTCACACTCCGAATCCACGTATTATTAAAACTGAGGGATTTTTTTTCTGTTTTCTCGATTCTTCGATGGTGATCGCAGGATTAGGAATGCATTCAGAAGATCGCCGAATTGTAAAGGCATGGGGAGGATAATGAAGAAAGAAGAGAGACGAAACAAAACATGGGAGTGAGTAGACGGGACGGGAGAGCAGAGCGGAAGCGAGCAGAAACGAGAAGAACGACGGAGAAGCGAGGAAGCCGATCACGGCAAGGAAATAGACGGACAAGAGACACGAAGGAGGAGGAGGAACGGAGAGAAAGAGAAAAGAACGAACAGATGCGGGGTAGAGGAGAAGGAACAGAGGAAACGAAGGAACAGACAAGATCAGAGATTAGACGACGCAGAGACCAAGCAGATGAGACAGACAGAGAAGGCAACGATGAGAAGATAAGAGAGATCGGAACAGAGAACGAACAAGATCAGAGAGGGATAGGACGACGGACCAGTTGTCGGAGACGAAGGCGCAGAACCATGAACCGAGAAAAGAAAAACCCAGGAAGTAAGAAGGACATGACCAGTATCTAGTGACATGGAACAGAATTCAAAGTGCAAGAGCCTGATCAGACGAGAACAGTACTGACAGAACAGCCAGCTTTAAACATTACGAAAAGCAAAAAATAAGTTAGAAGTAGAGATATGTAGAGAAGTCGAGCATACGTTCATAGAAGAGAAAGATGTAAGAAGAAGAAGGAGAAAGAAGATCGAGTGAGAGCGATCAAGAGGAGTATTAAGAAAGGAGGAGCAGGGGAGGAGTGGAGAGGAGAGAGCACGACACGCACAATGAAAAGACCAAACAGGAGAAAGTGAGGAAGACTTGACTGACATGAAGCGACGGGAATGGGTAGGGGGAGGATGCAATAAGAGAAAGAGGAGAACAAAAGAAGAAAATAAAGGAGAGAAGTTGGTTGGATGTAAGCTAAGAACAAATAGAGAGTTGAGTGTTGGTAGAGGGAACAGAGCGAGAGGAGGGGAGTGAGAGGGAAGAAGATGAGAGTGAGAGAATAGAGAAGGTGGGAAGACAAAATCTGACTATAAAAGAACGACCAGAAAGAGAGAGAGAGAGAGGGAGAGAGAGCGGGATGGGAGAGGAAGAGAGGAAGAAAGATGGAGAGAGGAGAGAGAGGGAGAGGGAGAAAGGAGAGAGGATGAGAGGATGGAGATGTGAGAGAGAGAGGGAAGAGAGAGGGGCAGATTGGGGAGGGGGTAGGGGCGAGAGGCGAGACAGAGAGACGTAGAAAGAGAGAAGATGAAAGAAAGAGCACAGGAGGGAAATAAAAAGAGACAGACCAAAAAACGATAATTAAAAAAAACGGGAAAAAAGCGAGCTAAAGGAGAGAAGAAAAAGAAAGAGAGTGAAGAGAATTGAGAAAAAAGAGGAAAGGAGAGAAAGAAGTAAAGCAGAGAGGGAGAGAAAGAGGAGAAGAGGAAGAACCTGCATGTGACGGTGTGTTGTCGAGACATTGTGTTGATGCGTGATACAGGTATGTTTAGGAGCTCATTACCGCCCCTCCACCCGTCCCTCGAGATGCCCGAGTGATCAGTGGGAGAAGAGTGGAGGGGCCCTCCCGTTGGATAGTGAGGACGTGCCACCACCGCCGATTCCCCCGTAGAAGACGTCAGCCCTGCCGAATACCGCTTGCCCGCCGCGTCGTTCGCGAGAGCCGCCCCGAGGAGAGCGATGCGAGGAGGACTGGACGACGACGACCCAAGAGAACCGGACCCCCTTCGCCCCCCTCTCTCCACGCGCCCTTTCCCCCTCCCCGACCCCGATATCCCCCCCTCTCCCCACCCCCTTTCCCTCCTCTCTCCTCCTCCCTCCCCCTTCTCTCTCCACCCCCTCCCGTCCCCTTTGCTATTACTCGGAAAGGGGAGAACACACAAGAGGAAGGAGGAAGAGGGATGAGAGAAAGATGAGAGAGAATTAAGGATAAAGGGGAGATTACGGTGGGCGGAGACTAGAAAATGATGGATAGAGAGAGAAAAAAAAAGAAAAAGGAAGAAAGGAAGGTTCAGAGATAGAAAGAGAGAGAGAGAAAGAGAGGTTGGAAGGGAGAGGAATGAAAAAAAGGAGAGACATAAATGCGAGGAAAAGAAATAGGAAATAAAAGAGAGCAGCACCAAAAGAAAAACAAAGAACAGAAATAGAAGAAATGGATGAAAGTGGAGACAAGAGAGAGAAGTAATGAGGATGTCCAATATAAAGGAAATGGAAGAGAGGAATTAAAACAAATGAGAAAACACAAAGAATGGAAGGAAGGAAGAGAGAGAGAGAGAGAGAGAGAGAGACGGAGCAAAAGAGAGAGAAGATAAAGAGGATTAAGGGAGAGGGAAAAAAAAGGAGCAGGACAGACCTAAGAGACAAAGAGAAGATAGAAAGAAACTCAGATGTGCAAGAAGAAGAGAGAAGAGAGGAGAATGAGAGTGAAGCAGTTTTCGAGAAGGGGATGTGAGAGAGAGAACAAGACGAGAGAATAAAATGAGAGATGGAGAACAGTAAGAGAATAAAAGATAAAGAGAACAAGAGACAGAGAAGAAAGAAAGAAGAGAAGAAAGCGGAGAAGAAAGTGAAAAGTAATAGTAAGTCGAAGGATTATGAAAAAGAAAAGCAGAGCGAAACAAGAAGAACGAAAGACGTGAGAAAACGAGAAAAAAAAGGAGCAAAAAAAAAAAAAAAAAAAAAAAAAAGAACCCTGAAAGTGAATAATAAAAAAAAGAATACACACAAAACAAAAGAAACGATAAGTAATCTGGCAAATGAAACAGAAGGAGAAATTGTAGGCAGGCGACAAAAGAATGATGGAGAGCGGACGAAAAGAAATGGAAGAGGACAGGAAAGGATAAAAAGGAAGGTCAGTAAACAATAGAACGGGATAACGAGATACAAACAAAGCAGAAGTAATAGAAGGAGAGACAAAGTCAGGAAGAGAGGGAGATAGCAAAATAGGAAGAGAAGAACAAGAGAAAGGAAGAGAGAGAGAGAGAGGAGAGATGTACGAAACCGAGAGATGAGAGCAGGTGGAGAGGACGGAGGAGATGAG